ATCATCAATACATCATCAATACAGCTGATTATCTATTATTTATCAGAACTAATCAGTTTGTTCTGTCACATTATTGATTTATTTATTTTTATTCTATCATAAAACTTAATTTATAAAACAGGAAGTTTTAAATGTTTCCCTAAAAAAACAAAAACAAATCACACAATATTTCCGATGCAGTGAAACTAATCAATAATCAATAATCAATAATGTGGCGGTGTTGTGGAGCACCCACCTCCCCGTGTATCCCCCCGGTCCTCCAGCGTAGCCCCCAGTCGTGCGGCCGTACATGCCCTGGTTCATGTAGCCTTTGCTGGGCTCTCCGTAGCCCTGCTGCCCCATGTATCCTCCGGGCCCGCCGGCCATACCCGGCCCCCCGGGGCCCTGCATCATCGGCCCCCCGCCAGGGTTGCCCCCGGGCCCCATGCCCCCTCCACCGAGACCCTGGAACACAAACACACGGTCCAAATTCTTAGTTATTAATCTTCATCTGTACAAATAATCAATAATCCACTGCTGCTTCCTGTTTGGTGATGTCATACCTGGCTGGCCGAGGGATTGGTCACTCCCCAGACGGTGGTAACCACGGAGAGCGATCCTGTGGGCTGATTGGTGGGCTGCTGCCAGCTGGACGGGTCGTAGGGGTACGAACCGTCACTGCAGAGAGAATCAGAGGCAGCAGGATCAATACCTGATATCTGATCAATATCATCAGTTGTCAGGTGACAAACGAGTCTCTAAATGTCCAGGTTTTCCAGGTTTTCCAGGTTTTCCAGGATGTGTGCCTATATTTATTTACTTTAATATATTTAGTATGATTATAAATGTATTAACTTTTGTTCTGATGGTTTATGTCTCCGACTGTATCGAACAGAAACACTTCAGATCACTTTTATTAATAGTAGGGACGCACCGAAACCGAAACCGAAACCGAAAACCGAAAGAAATTATTATGCCAATTATTAGTCCCGTTGCATTTATGGCTGTGACTGTGAACTAACCTCACTAACATCAAGGCAGTGCAATTCAAAGAATAAATCAATTACAAAAGTATGAAAATATTTATTTAGCACTGACATTACAACAATGCACAATATAAAATAACTTCAACAAAGTGCATCAGAAGAAGAAAACTGCTGGAAGATAGAACAATGTTTTCTCTGTCGGCCTACAACAGTTCTGCCACAGCCCAAATGTTCACCGAGGCCTTTAACAACAAGAACTGCAGATTTATAGAAATATTTAGACACAAGCCCATTCTACTTCTTCAGGTAAAGTGCACCATCACTGGAAAACTTTCTTGCCTTTTCAAAAACGTCCGCCACAGACGGAGTGGGCGTGCTCGGATTGATTTTCTTCCCATGTTCAGAGCGGCAGTCAGGTGATGAATTAAACCCGACGTGGAGAAGCTCTTTGCAGACGCACCCCCTCTCGCTATCCGTGGGTCTTTCATACGTCCACACGCAGACGAGCGCGTGCTGGCCGCGGTTTTTGTTTGCGTCATCACAACTTTCTGTTTCGGTGATAAAAAGTATTTCGGCCGAAAACCGAAAATGCGCATTTGGGCATTTTTGGGCCGAACATTTTCGGTGGGCGAATATTCGGTGCATCTCTAATTAATAGTTTAATAAATGTTTTCCATATGAAATATAATAACCTTTAATATCTGAGTTTAATAGAAGCAAACTCTTCCTGAATACCGACAGGAGCTTGTATGTAGGAACAATATATCAGAACATTAAAAACATTATAATAAGTGTTTGATTAGAGAGTCTGTTACTGCAGTGATGTCACAGTGTACTCCAGGGTGTGTCAGTGCACTGTGACATCA